TGGGGATTCCCGGCCAACCATGCTGGATGACATCGTCTCGTGAGGTATAAATCCATCATTGAGACCATTGAACATATGCTATAACTTATATGCTATGCTATTTTTTATCGTTTATCATGATCATCGTGTAATCATTGATAATTTATCATGATAAATTATAAAAACATATCCTAAACAGCCTCTCAATGGCTCCAACTATGTCCGTGTGATTTCGTATGATTTCGTCATATTTCATCCCCTACTCCATGGTTTCTGGGGGATGGGATTGAAAACCCCATCGGAGCCGCGCCTGTGTTCTTCCAAGCAGCACCGGCAGCGTGCCCTGCATCCCGGAAATAGTTGCAGCAATTGGGAGATAAATCATGATACCCTCTGGTAATTTAACATAGCAATGGAAAATCACCATGTTCAATAGCTACATCAACTATAAATGACCATTTTCCATAGCTATGTTAAATTACCAGAGGGTAAATCTATAAATCTACAGTGGATAACTTGGATTGTACTACACATATTTCAAACGGTGGAGGAAATCAATGGAAAAACAAAATGACAGGGACCATCTATGCCCACTGCACCACTGCTGTTTCATCATGAACACGAATCACTGTAGTCCGCATTCCAAGGGAACTATAACCTATAACATCCTATAACTATCTACCAGATAGTGAATTAGTGGCTCAGAAATGCCAAAGCTATTGGCAAATCAACCTGAGATCATATTCTTTCAGAGAGATTGCCCTAAGCCCATCATCGTCGCTGGATTTCGGTCGTTGGATTTCCACCCAGAGGTGCACCTGGCCCTCGCTGATTTCCACGTCGTCTATGCTTGCCATTTTGCTGCGGAAAATTGAACTGGAAATGTCTGCGGCGAAGGGGACACCTTTGCGAACTCCGCACCACTTCGGACGAAATTTCAGGGTGTCCTTCCGCGGGGGGGCCTTAATATCCTGAAATCATGCAAAGATGTATCATTTTTGGCTGCAAAACGAATGGTTTGGACCCAAAGGAAAAAACGCCAAAACAGAGACCACCAGCTGATGCCAAAGGGCCCTAGCAGAAGATGATCTGAGAAAAATCCAACCCAAATGATGCTCCAACAACTTGCTTCAAGGTCTTTGGATTTCGATGGATTTTGCAATTTCGATCGTCCCTTGAAGCCCCAAAACACGTCCCGGCTCGCCCACCGAAGTGCTTCCTGCATGATGGCCGTCAACCTGAGCTCTTGCAGGTCAACTATAAGGGAGTCATGCTGGGGCGAGTCTGACAATGGAGGAGAGATGGAGGATACAACAATGGCTATTTCGATGACGAAATTGATGATTCAAACCAACTGAACATCAGGAAAATGATGATAAGCTATATATTCATCAACTATGGAATGGTGTTTGGCGTTGTTTCCAAACAAACCCACATGAAAGACATTGAGATATTGGGTTCCATCAGGTGATGCAAAGGCTTCAACTGCGACATCTCCCTCACACGGAAAAGACATGAACATCAAACATCAACACGTTGCATAATGTTTTACAGTACAATAATATGTATATATATATATATACGACTATCACGACTATCGTGATTCAGTGATTCAAAGAATAATCCAACTTTATCATGGTTTATCATAATCAGGTGTGATTTCTGTAACATCTGTGTGCTTTTTGATTGTTTCCCAATTTCATCCCTTCCAGCGGTACCCTGCATCGTTGCCAGGCTTCCACACAAAGTGGAACGGAATGCGAAACGCTTGGCAGCTTGCTAAGTCAGTTTGGAAGTTTTGCTGTGGTGTTTTGGCAGGTCCTTTAGGGGTCTGGTCTAACCTTCCATCCTCAATGTTGACCATGAAGCAGGAAATGAGCTTAATGAACCCCACATATTCAGGGAAGGATGTTCGACACTTGACAATCCGAGGCTCTCATAGGAATGAGAAATAAAGGCACTTCGTGCAGCACTTGGCACTTCGACATGTTCGAGCACCAATACCCTGCACCCTTCCCGGAATGCGTGGCAACATATGTTTGACCGAGCAGGCTGACCGGGCAGGCTGACCAGAAGGCTCCACCGGGTCATGAAAGTAAGCATGATGTCCTTTGGGTAAATGGATAAATGGATACCCTCCGGTCATCAAACATATCAATGAAAAATCCACCATTGTACATAGATTATAGTTTAGTTTCCCATTCAAACCTCCATTTCCAATGGGTTTTCCAATGGGTTTTCCAATGCTTTTCTCTATTAGATCCTGCTGCATGATGGTCTTTGCACCTTGACTATTGAAAATGGACTGCCCTTTCGAAATATCCTTTATCGATTAGCGCCAATCACCCCAAGGATACCCTTTTCGGTTCATCCGGACAGGGCGACCGATCGATTTCACTTCGTGGAAATCGTTCTTTTCGCCACACCAAGACAGCCATACAGCCATACAGCGCTTATGAAACCAATATCTTCCCAAGGTTTGGCAAATGTTAGAGGATATCCATTGCCATGTATGGCGAATGACCCAATAAATTATACACGCCCCAATTTCACGAGTTTCACTATACTTCCAAGCCGTCACCCAGCCTCCAACCAACTGCCAAGTCCGGTATCTTGGTGCACCAAAAAAAGGGACCATGGAAACATCAGCTCATCCCACCAGACTTATGATACTTCTGGATGTTCCCCCCTTAGGTATTTGCTTTCCCCCGTGGTTTCGATGGTTTCCCTCCATTCATTGTGAAAACCCAATTCTTGATGGCTAACTCTCAAGTCTTGGTGGATTAAGTCTCAGTGTTTGGATGGTCAAGCCACGTCATTCAAGCAACCATAGCTCGAAACTGATCCCTCCGAACTACAAACTAGCTACCATCATTACCCATGGATCCCATGGCAATTACAATAAAGAATCATCACAATAAAGAATTATATATCAATAAACATTCATAAACCGTCATTTCCACATGCAATACCTTAAATTCACTTAAATTCTCATCATTTTTCATGAAACAACGGCATCATGCGGCACCTGCAAACACACGCTGCAGGCGGACCAGGCATCTTCGCTCTGTCAGTGTTGGATGCCTCGCAAAAATGGATGGCATGGTTTTGCAGTTTTACATCAAGGAAAACATTGATGTTATTATATATTATATATGTCATATTATGACCATTATGTGTCATTATAACGTTCAAATCATTTCTGAGTGTAAGTTCTGTTCTTTCTGCATACATTTCTAAAATTATGTCAGCATTTGATTCCATGATTGCAGGTTAAAATCCCTTCTGTTGGTGAGTAACGCTCCATTAGTGAGCGTAGTTAATAGTTACACCCAGTTAAGTACAACTTGAGCCAAACTTATGCAGAAACACATCCAGCAACAGCCGTGAATAAATCCCAGGGATCTTGATCATCGACAAAGACTGCCTTCTTCGCAAAAGGGGGGCCACAGGTTCTAGTACCGCCAAGTGTTCAAGAAAATAGTTGTGAGATGTTGTGAGCAACCGCCAAAAAAAAAAACAAATGGTGAATTGACGTGAAGTGATATATCATATGCATTCGGATCATCATAAAGGACTCATACAGCAGAATCTGATCAGGGAGCAAGTGTCACAAGTGAGCCGGAATCAAACTACATGTGAAAAGCGAACATGGCTTACGCTACACCGCCAATGCATCTGAATTCAAGCGAAAAACCATCACAAGATTTGGAACCCCTCTCCAACCTTCAAGGCTTCTTGATTTTTGAGGTATCGAAAATGGCTTGGAGACCAACAGGGGCTGCAACCACCTGCCCAACCCGCTGGGGCGCCACACCCTAGGGCGAGCAGCCTCCAAAAGACCCGCGGGCAGTCAACGGTGCCACGGACCTAGGCGGTTTGAAATGATGAATGTGTTCAATCTAACATGTCATATCATCATCATCATCATCATCATCACCATCATCATCATCACCATAATCACCATCATCATACATCAATATAATAAGAATTTATGATATTTGATGGGTAAGCAAATGATAGCAGTCGTGTTTTAAACATACTCAAAAGTCTGAAAAGTTGGTGCTGGCAATCGGGAATTGCTTTGACTTAGGGGTTGGATTCTTGCGGTTTGACTGAATCGGATATATCGGATATCAATTCCTGAAAACAAGCCAGCAACGAGGCTGTAACTCATCAACTTCACCTCACAGCCAAGTCTGGTACCCACTCGGCCCCAAAACCATGATCCATCCCCAATGACCAGTCTGGATGGTAATCTTTAAAATTAAACTATAGTGCAACTGAGGATGTAATGTGGCAATCTTTCCAGACATAGCTTGTAGCTTGTGAACTGGTCACTCTTCAGCTGGGTGCCCTAACACCGGATATGGTTCTGAATAGATAGAGCCTGCAAACGTCCCGGCGCCAACTGCGCAGTTTTCTCGGAAGCGAGGGGGGTCTCTGTCAGTTCAAATGAACTGGCAAATGGAGAATTATTACATAATATAGATATGATACGTATATGAGCCGCCATCAAAACTTTACGTTTTCTGAATTCTTAGAATTCATGGTACGGTATTGCTTTTTTTGGGGGGCCGACTGCTAACAATGATTTTGCAGGTGTGAAGAAGAGGAGCAAATCTGCGGAATGAAAGGAAGAAGAGAGGAAGAGGAAAGAAAAAGGATGCAACGCCTCTCATTCCGGAAGAGCAAAGAAAGAGGAAAGGAAAGGATGAAAGGATCTGGGGTCAGTTTTTTTTCAACAAATGGGTATCGCTAAGGTATCGCTGTTTCGGGGACCCAAAAAAGCTGCACAATTCATCTCCAGAAGGAGTCGACCTACATTGGCTGATGCTACATGTCATGCACCATCGAGAAAATACTACAGCACTGTCACAACATATCACAACACACCAAATCAATTCCATTTACCAATGCAAACGTGCCAAGGATCCTTTCATTGCAGTTCGAACGCAAGCATCGCGGAGCCATGTTTTTTCATCGCAACATGCCGTGGCTGGGGAAGGACTTTGCGACCCCTACGCACGGCTGGGTAAACCTGGGCCGCGCTGAAAATGGCTGGAAGGGCCACTGAAATGATCCTGGGGAAGGTGGCAAACCCAACAACAAACCATCCCCAGTAACTAGCCATTTGGGGGGTCGTTTTAGATCACCGTGTTACTGGAAATGCTTTGTTGTTGGGTACACCTCATTAACTTGTTGGAGCCAAGCTGGTAGTTGAGCCACTCGGGCCTATAGATCATCATCCCATATCATGCCAATGTGAAAGCTGTTGAAAACATCAAACGGCAAGGGATCATCAAGGATGCTATCCCGAAGAAACCAACTTGTCATGCTCAGAAACTCTCCGATCAAAATTCTTAGATATTCTGGTGAAGTGGAAACTGGAAAGGGATCATCTCGTACTGAGTGCAATTATCCTTGCACCCATGGCTTTGAACAGTCTTTACTCAATATATCCAGGTTTGCTTTTCCAGAGTCTCATAGGCAAATGAAAACATATTATATATTATTATGATTATTATTATTGTTGTTATTATTATTATTAAGGATTTGCACTTGATCATGGGTCAAAAGCATTTGATTTGGGATAGGGTTTGGGATGTGAAGAGTAGAAAGTCAAATCTATATCTCCATATACAATATATATATATATGATGCACCTATGGTTCTATTTCTTCATGAGAACCCATTGACATCGAATTTAGATATTGTAGATATATCAAGATATACCGATATATATATATATATCAATATAGATCCATATATCCGTGATATATGTATATACCTGTATGCACCAATGTATAAATAGATAAACGCATAAATATGTGTGTATATATATGTATATGGCCATGCACGCCCATGTCCATGTATCTATACAAATATACACCCATAATGTATACTAAACATATATGTACCCCCAAATTTGGCCACAGCGCCGCTTCTGGGCCACCACTTTCGCGGGCCACTGCTGCAGTGGCTGCACAATGATGGCCAAGCTCCAGCGCTGCTTGGCAGAATTGGCAAACTGTGGGCCAGGTATTCCGTTTCTACCCAGAACCATATTGTTTTGGGCAGAATTGACCTGCCTTTTTCATTTCACGCCCCAACAAAAACATAATCTTGTCAATAAGATCGCCCAACACCTTTTGACGAACTGATACCGACACAACAGTGAGTAGCGCACTCACCAATTAAATGAGAGCCCTGACAAGGATACCACCAGCAATCGCCACTAACACTGTTTCATGGGATTTGATCACAAAATATCATGGAATCGAAGATATACATCATAGAACTTCCGGTCACTCAAAAAAAAACAATATTTACAATGTAGACTCGACAACTTGTTTGTGAAGTATATGCGAGGATTCCAGTCAAGGTCTGACAACTCACCGTGATCCATGGCAATCACAACACGATAGGATTTGATTTAAAAGCATCTGAAACATGCCTCCCTGCAGAAGTCAATGCTTGATTTTGCTGTGAAGACTTCTGCCTGTTTCAGCTGAACATGTTCTAAATTCCTAGGTTTCTTAGATGTCCAGCAGAAGTCTGGATATTGAATCTCCAATGGCACTTCTGCTGGCCATGCATCATCCCTGGGAATTTCAAAAGATTTCAATAGAAACCTTCAGATCTTTCTTGTTGGATTTCACACTTTGACTTCTGCACCAAAAAATGTGTTCTTTTTCGAGGCATTGATTTCGGTTCCAAAACATCACAGATTTCCGAAGGTTTCGGCTGAAACCTTCAGAAGTTTTACATTTTCTGACCCCAAATCAACGCCCGGAAAAAAACAACATTTTTTTTCTTTAATTACAAGTTTCTGAGCCAAATATTTCAGTGATATATTCTTGTGTTCTTTGGTTGTTGTTGTTGTTCTCCTTGTTCTAGTGGCGGTTGCTGGTGGTATCCTTGTCATGGCTCTCATTTAATTGGTGAGTGCGCTACTCACTGTTGTGTCGGTATCTTTGCTCTTTCAGTTCGTCAAAAGGTGTTGGGCGATCTTATTGACAAGATTATGTTTTTGTTGGGGCGTGAAATGAAAAAGGCAGGTCAATTCTGCCCAAAACAATATGGTTCTGGGTAGAAACGGAATACCTGGCCCACAGTTTGCCAATTCTGCCAAGCAGCGCTGGAGCTTGGCCATCATTGTGCAGCCACTGCAGCAGTGGCCCGCGAAAGTGGTGGCCCAGAAGCGGCGCTGTGGCCAAATTTGGGGGTACATATATGTTTAGTATACATTATGGGTGTATATTTGTATAGATACATGGACATGGGCGTGCATGGCCATATACATATATATACACACATATTTATGCGTTTATCTATTTATACATTGGTGCATACAGGTATATACATATATCACGGATATATGGATCTATATGGATATATATATATATATATACATATCGGTATATCTTGGTATATCTACAATATCTAAATTCGATGTCAATGGGTTCTCATGAAGAAATAGAACCATAGGTGCATCATATATATATATTGTATAGATTTGACTTTCTACTCTTCACATCCCAAACCCTATCCCAAATCAAATGCTTTTGACCCATGATCAAGTGCAAATCCTTTATTATTATTATTATATAAATCATATAAATCATTGTCAAGTGGAACCTCTTCTGGCGGGTTGCCCCATGACCCCCAGTATCCACATGTATCCAGCAGTTCTGGCCAGATCATGGTTATGTTCTATGGATTTTGTTTCTGGGAAAACAGCATCAGGTGAAAGCCAGGGCACAGGCCCCCGCATAGTCCCAGATGGTCCTGAGCGCCAAGTGGGACGAGAGCTGGCGCGGTCCTTCGCTGCCATCCAATCCTGGCACCGCAGCACGAAATTCCCCCCGAATCAAGGCCCTAGGCGTAGGTTTTTAGGGGACCTTATGGATCCTTATGGGACCTTTAATAGGGGGAAAATGGGGGAAAGGATTAATATGCGTTAATGTAGCCAGCATTAGCCCCAATTTCAAAAACCATCCCCAAGTCATCAGCTTTTTTATGGCTGCTATGCTTCCCCAGTCATGAGAGTCCTTTGTGGCAGCAGGGGTGAATCCCACATTGCAACAAATGTGGATCTATCTACCTATGAATTCCCTAATGGTTGCTGGTTAGTTGTATTCCAATGGTTGGAATGGTTTTACCCATTGATTCGTTATCATGTTGCCCAATCCCAATGTTGGTTAGTTCTATCCCAATGGTTGTTGCTTAGACTATTCATTTAAATTCCCCAATTTTTATGGTTCTTGGTGACTTTCATAATTTGTCATATCCCATTTTTTTTATTAACAAAACTATGACGTACCTTACCCAGCTTGGTGAGTTCTATCCCAATCGTTGCTTCCCAGGGATCCCAGGGCAGCGCCATGGCAGCGCCTACTGCTCCGCGGTACTCCACCTCCGCCGCCCGCTGCATCTCCGCGCTGGGCCGCGCCAATGGGTCCATGGCCGCCGCGCCGGTGGCGCGCGGCTCGCTGTGACGCCAGAGGGTCTGAGGCCAGTGCCAAAAGCTCGGAAAGTGTGGGAAAATGGAAGGTGAAACCATGGAGATCCAGTTTTTTTCATGGAAATAAAGCTGAAAAAACTCGGGTATGATGATGATTGGTTCATAGTTTTAAAAATAAATGGCAAGGGCACGATGAGCGCCCCCACAAAAATTAAGGATTGAGGGAACTTGACATAACTTTTTCAGCCCAGGTGGGAAAATAACCTCAAACTCATCAGACACAAACACTTCTCAAGGTCCAATCCTTTAAATCCATTTGGGTTTCTCGGAAAGCACGGTTACCCGGCATAAAAACATAGGCGGCATACTCCATTGTTTCAACCATATCAAGTGAAATCCCAAAATCTTTGAGTTTTTGCCACTTCTTGCCACTTTCCCCCGGAGTCTCCAGGTCCCCTCCCTCCGGCCGGAGCTCCACCTCCCGTAGGCGTCGCAGGTTGCAGGTCAAGGGCAGGCCTCCAGACACCACGCGCCGGCCGCGCACGAAGGAGGAATGCAGAGCACTACCGGCCTGGCCCGGCCCTTGTTGGGGACGACCCAAGACCAGGAGGCTGGCGGGGTCGCCCCGAGGGAGAAGCGACCTAGGACCGATTAGGACCGTTAGGATGGAGGCATGGGAATCCACAGGAGAAATGGTGGATTTCAATGGATTGATGTTGGGATTTGGGAAGCTTGGCATGGAGCGGGTTGTATTCTGAATGGATTTGAATTCCAACAGTTTGATGGATTGTTGTTCGGATTTGAATGGATTCGATGGGTATATTCTTGTGGATCTTCCGCGATTTTCAAATGCAATGTTTACTTCTGGGGGATTTCGCGTGGATCTTCCATGATTTTCCATTAACATTGTCAAACTGGATAGATTACAAGATTCTAAGTGCATTTGGTTCTTCCGTGATTTCTCTGAGACGTTCCATGAAAATCCATGAAACCAGTTACGATAAAACTAAAGGATCACCAAAACATGATAAGATCGATTCCATCTATTTCAATAACCCAAAGGAGTCCATCAAAATCCGTCCAAACATTCTTGAAAATCCCCATGAAATCCATGATTTCCCCAGATTTTATGACATTCTATGGTGATTCTCGACCATTCCCAAGCCATTCCCCTGGGAGATCCGACATGGCTGTGAGATCCCACAGGGTCACATCCGCCACCTTGTGAATCAAACATGGTTTCCTTGAAAATCCACCATTTCTAGCGGATCTTCATGGATTTTCCTAGCTATAAACTTTATAAACCTCCATTGATTGAATTCATTGGTGATTTGATCGACTTTTCCCTCCTTGCCGCGTATGATTACTGGATGGTAAATCCCGAGCTTGGGCGGTGGGAGAACTTGATGTGGTTTGATGTGGAATATTTCAAGGATTGATGGATCTCTCTCATCGGATTTAACATATATTTAACAGGCATATCACAACCAAAGGACTGGGAATATGGGGTTATGTCATGGAAACACCTTATCTTCCATGGAAAGTCCATGGTCCTATGGCCTGACCCCTGCTGGGAGGCGGACGCAACCCACCTCAATCTTTCCTGCTCCTTGCATGCCCATGGCAGCGTAACCTTGGCCCGCTGTTGGCTCTTTGGTGTTTTTATGATCACGAAAAAATCGCAAAAAACGGATGGTTATGGATGGTTTCTGTTTTATAATCCGGACAAATTGTGTAAATTTTGTAGTATAGTATGGAATGGTTCACCACCCAGAACTAAGATGACCAAGATGAATTAAGAGGCCCACACTCAGGGGATACCAACCCTCCCCATCATTCCTTGACGTCACGAGGTCGTGATCCAATTTATCCATGGGGATGTCATGACTTGATTGGTCATTTTGGTATATCGATGTATATCGGCATGTGAAGTTGATGGCATAAATGGATATAAATGGCGTAAATGTGTTGGCTGCATGACGTTGGCCAAGACATCTTGAAGTCTATAGTAAGTTGCTCTCTCTCTAGCTCCATCGACATGCGCTCAAGTTCGGGAAACACCCATTCATTCATGAGGGGAAACGGGTTAATCCCATATCATCCCGCATGGTAGCCCCATATTGTCCCAAGTCAGTATTTGGATTAGACTATCGCATTATACTCATACTAATTACAGTAACCCACATAAAATTGATGATAGCTCAATATAAGCTCGTAGTTATCCATCTGGCATGGCTATCTTCTAAATCTTCATCTGATATCAATCATCCCCCAAAAGAATACTCCGTGTTCATATTTTGTGGGTGATATATTTATCTGAATATTCATCTGTGATAACACTCAGTGTTCATATATATATATATGTATATTTATATATATAAATTAAAATATATTCATTTGAATTCATCTGAATATTTATCTCATCAGTGTTGGGATTTGCTCATCACCATTGCGCCACGTTGAATCCCCGCCATGGCACCCCCTTCCGACGCCAGCTTCAGTGCCTCCTTGGCCGTGAGCCACTGCCGATAGTCCACGCTGCTCAGGGTCGACAATAAGCCTCGACTGCGACGAAGCGAGGAGCGACCCAGCATAGTTGAATAAACTGCATGTCAATAGGGATTTAACCAAGAAAACTGGTACTATAAAGTGACAACTAATGGGAAAATATGAGAAATATCATGGAATATCAAAGATTGTAGCAGCTCCCCCACAAAATGCCGAATATTTGCATCAGGGGCTTTTTTTTACCTTGTGCGAATTAATATATGGTGAATCCGCACTTGTGGCTGCTGACAGCCACAACAGCAAAAAACAAAGGGGATAGGTACAGTTGAAATGTACATTTTATAAACCTGCTGAAAAAATTGCAAAATCCAATTCCAAAATGGCGGCAATAACTGACGGTTGTATCTTTCTTGGAGGTTGGTAGAGTGTGAGTAACTCCCAAAAAAATGTAGGTCATTAGAAATCATGGAATTTACCACTATCTCAGGAATATAGTATAGTTTTACTAATTGTACTATGTCTCTCTTTTTGGACGTCGATTCTGCAGTATGGTTTCTAAAGCGAGATTGCCATTGTGCCTGATCAGGTGTCAATGTTGGATGCTTCACTATATGGGTACAACCGCGTTTACATATGTACATGCATATTCCCACGTTTGATCCCATTTTCATGGGCTATATAGCTCTGTCACGTTGTCAGTCGTCCATATCACAATTATACACTGGCAGTTGGAAGAAACCCATCCTGACCACACATTGCAGTAGCTTGGCCTACAAGACTACAAGTATAATTGGCTGTCACATTCATGCTCTGGTCAGAACCTATCGCTTTGTCTCAAAAGATGGGAACACTCTTTATCCCAAAATTCAAATGATGCCCACCTCAAAATATCGCAAAAACAGCCCCCAAGGTGACCCTGTCGAGCAACAGGCCAGCTTGATGGCTTCGGTCATGTCCTGCTTGGAACTACAAGAGGAACCATGACTTGCGTCTAACCTGAAATATCCAAGAGGAATTTCATGCACAGTAATGCAAAAAAGAAAAAACAGATATCACCCAGTGCGCAGAGCAAACAGATAGAGATTGTATTGATTTGCATTGGTGAAACAGATTGGCCGTAAAGTTCCTCTGGAACATCCTGGAACTTAGGAAACGCGATTCTCATTCACGGTGTGTGATCGATGGGCCACAATTCCAGTGAGATTTCTTGCACTGGTCACGGTGGGCATCAGTGTTTGCGTGGACTTCCAGGTGCAAATTCTCTGAACGTTCGCCCGTTTCAAACCCATGGACCAACTTGGGCTCAGCTTGTGATGGACCACCCTGAACTGCCAGACGACATAGGTAGACAGATAGACAAGTAGATAGCCAGATAGACAAACAGACAGACAGGGAGGGAGGGAGGTAGGTAATGGTAGGTAGGCAGGTAGGTAGATATGTAGATAGACAAATAGATAGGTCGCAGAGAGAGAGAGAGAAAGAGAGCGAGAGAGAGAGAGAGAGAGAGAGACTCAGAACCTCAACCACCTTTCGGTCCATCAATTCGCTGTGCCATCCATGCATCACAACAACCCACCTCTCCTATAGGTGTTCTATCTTTGAAACTTCCGCCACGGCCTTGTGTGGTCCTACTGGTATCCAACTGTCCAGAATCGTATTCCAAGCCCCGTTGTGAAGGCATGAACCATGCTCTCAGCATCCAAGTGATAAATAGCTATAGACTACAAGCCAGCCCCACAAGCACCCAGTACTTTTGAGATCTTTTGAGTACAAGTAGCTCTCCAACCCTCAAATTCATCCCACTCCGTCCCACTCCATCTCACTTCTTGATCTAGTGTGGCATTGTGACATCATCCCTCCGGCCATCCCCCGGCGCCATGACATCAACCGCTGTCACCGGTGACTTTTCCCGATGACGCGCACGTGTTCGCGCACCTCCGTGGGCATCTGAAGCAGGTCAAAGCTGAGCCCTGCCAGGATGGTACCCAGGGCAGTGTCCTCAATGGCCCAAGCCTTCCACTGCAATTGAGCCAGGGAAGCCATCCCAACCGATGCCAGAAACGCGGCAATGTCAGCTGACATGGCATAGCCAGAGGCCTCGGGATATGGGGGGTAGACAGACAAGCCCAAGTCTTGGCTGTATTCCAAGTTGTTCCACTGTGGATTGTAGCTGTCGTTGATCAGAACCTTATTCCCATGTAGGATCGTTCCCAGAATGAATGGACGGTCATGATTCTCGGTCAACTCCAAATCGCCCGACGCACGCAAAGCATACTTGAAGACGGCTGCACTGCGAGATTTCATGGGAGTACAGGTCGTGAAGGTCGTGCAATCTCCAGCTGAATCTACCTGAAAATAGTGACACTGCCGATCCATCGCGCATTCGATCTGACATTGCAAGTGCCCAATGGATGGCATTCGCCACCGACCCAAATCTCCACAGTTCGAGGCCGGCAAGGGAACCACAGCTTGCCCATTAGCAGCCCTGGGAAGAAGCGGCAGCAAGAACTCCAGGGGCAACCTGGTTGGTGGTTATATAAATCCATCCCGAAATTACGTGTGAAAAACAAGAGGAAAGATTAGGTTTGCCTTTGTGTCCTTGTTAGGTGGAAGATCTCGGAAAAGTGTCCTTTAAAAGAATCAAATAAACATATGGGGGTTGTCCAAAATACCTTTTCCCGGACAGCCCTCAATCGCTCAGCCAATCGCGTAGCAACCGCGGTACCACAGTGAGCAATCGCGGAAGGGTTTGTTCTTCGTTGATCAGATCATATACATAAAATATAAGTTATGTATTATATAATGAGGATCCATGCGTGAACGCATTCGATTTCAAATTTGGAACAAAATAGGCTCGCGCGGTCCGGAAACGGTCCGGAAAACTCACAGTAGTACCAGCAGCAGTAGTACTAGTAGTACTAGTAGTACTAGTAGTACTAGTAGTACTAGTCGTAGTAGTAGTAGTAGTAATAGTAGGAGGGGTAAGAGTAGGAGTAGGAGTAGGAATAGGAGAAGGAGTTCTAGTAGCAGGGCAAGGGAAGAAAGGGAGAGGGAGGGAAAGAGAGAAAGAGAGAGAGAGAGAGAGAGAGAAAGAGAGAGAGAGAGGGAGGGAGGGGGAAACAGATGGTTGCGTTTGACCGGTTTCTGACGGGTTTCTGACTGGTTTCTGACTGGTTTCTGACTGGTTTCTGACTCGTTTCTGACCCTTCAGCGGAACTCGTGTCAATTGGATTTAAAAGCAAGAGCAGAAATTCCTAGGTGTACTAGTGGTAGTGGTGGTAGTGGTGGTGCAGGGTGGTGCAGTAGCAGCGGGTGTGGTGGTAGTGCTGGGGGTAGTAGCAAATCTAGTAATGAGAGTAAGGATCCATGCGGGAACGCATTCGATTTCAAATTTGGGAGCAAAATAAGCTTGTGCGGTCCGGAAACGGTCCGGAAAACTCACAGTGCACTAGCAGTAGCAGTAGCACTAGCAGTAGTGGAGATTGGAATAGGAGTAGGCGTAGGAGTTCTGGTAGGAGGGTGAGGGAATAGGCAAGGGAGAAAGAGAGAGAGGTTGCGTTTGGAGTAGGAGTAGGAGTAGGAGTACGAGTAGAAGTAGGAGTAGGAGTAGGAGTAGTAGTAGTAGTAGTAGCAGTAGTAGCAGTAGTAGTAGCAGTAGTAGTAGTAGCAGGAGTAGTAGTAGTAGTATTAGTAGCAATGATAAGAGCTGAGGTGGATGGATGGATGGATCGATGGATGGATGGATGGATGCTAGGCAAGTGCTGCCTTTTTGGTGTTTCTGACCTGTTTCTGACCTGTTTCTGACCTGTTTTCAATTGGAGCTAGCTTGAATGTCCTTCTGACCTGAAAACATCTGCGCGGATTCCGCGCGCGCGGAATCCGCGCGGCCATGTCAATTATTGGCATGGTTCTGGTCTCGAAAGTAGTAGTAGTAGTAGTAGTAGTAGTAGTAGTAGTAGTAGTAGTCGTCGTACTCGTACTAGTAGTAGTAGTAGTAGTAGTTGTTGTTGTTGTTGTCGTAGTAGTCGTAGTAGTCGTCGTAGTAGTCGTCGTAGTCGTCGTCGTAGTAGTAGTAGTACTAGCAGTACGAGTAGTAGTAGTAGTAGAAGTAGTAGTAGAAGTAGTAATAGTAGTAATAGTAGTAATAGTAGTAATAGTAGTAATAGTAGTAATAGTAGTAATAGTAATAGTAGAAGTAGCAATGATAAGAGCTGAGGTGGATGGATGGGTGGATGGATGGATGGATGGATGGATGCTAGGCAAGTGCTGCCTTTTTGGTGTTTCTGACCTGTTTCTGACCTGTTTTCAATTGGAAGCTAGCTTGAATGTCCTTCCTTACCTGAAAACGATCTGCGCTATTTCCCGCGCGAAGCGCGGAATGCCGCGCGGCCATGTCCATTATTATGGTTCTGGTCTACGAAAGTGTAGTAGAGTAGTAGTATTAACTAGAGTGTATTATAGTAAAGTAGTAGTAGTAATAGTGTCGTAGTATAGTCCGTATTGAGTAGTCGTAGTAGTCGTAGTAGTCGTCGTAGTAGTCGTCGTAGTCGTCGTCGTAGTAGTAGTAGTACTAGCAGTACGAGTAGTAGTAGTAGTAGAAGTAGTAGTAGAAGTAGTAATAGTAGTAATAGTAGTAATAGTAGTAATAGTAGTAATAGTAGTAATAGTAGTAATAGTAATAGTAGAAGTAGCAATGATAAGAGCTGAGGTGGATGGATGGATGGATGGATGGATGGATGCTAGGCAAGTGCTGCCTTTTTGGTGTTTCTGACCTGTTTCTGACCTGTTTCTGACCTTTCCCGGAGTCTTCTTCAACTTCAAAAAAATCAGCACGGGCAGTCAAACTAGGAGCAATTTTAGTGATCATCAAAGTAATATCATTACTAGTGCCCCAAATACTAGTACTAGTGCTACTAGTAGTAGTAGTAGTAGTAGTAGTAGGAGGAGAGTAGAAGTAGTAATAGTAGTAATAGTAATAGTAGAAGTAGCAATGATAAGAGCTGAGGATGGATGGATGGATGGATGGATGGATGGATGGATGGGATGCTAGGCAAGTGCTGCCTTTTTGGTGTTTCTGACCTGTTTCTGACCTGTTTCTGACCTGTTTTCAATTGGAGCTAGCTTGAATGTCCTTCTGACCTGAAAACATCTGCGCGGATTTCCGCGCGCGCGGAATCCGCGCGGCCATGTCAATTATTGGCATGGTTCTGGTCTCGAAAGTAGTAGTAGTAGTAGTCGTAGTAGTACGTCGTACTAGTAGTAGTAGTAGTAGTAGTAGTAGTAGTAGTAGTAGTAGTAGTAGTAGTAGTAGTAGTAGTAGTAGTAGTAATAGGGTGGTAGCCGTATAACCAATCGCCAACCAATCGCTCAGCCTATCGCGATGCAGGTTTTAGCAATCGCGCAAAGCAAAGTAAACGCATCAATTCATAAATTTGTGACCTGCTTTTACGGACGGCTCCCATATGAAAGCACCAGCAAGCAACACTGAGTCCACATCCGCACGGATGAAGAATTTCACTTCAAAGCGATCCAGCAAAAGACGATAGGCCATGACCATCTTTTGCATCAGCTGTCGGTACCCATGGGGGCAATCCACCAGCAGTAGATCTTCCTCGTGCCCCAGCATTCCAATGTCTGGGTCCGCAGCCGCCATGATGAAGAAATGGCGATGAGTAAAACCTGGAAGCTGGACTCCTGAAGGGGTTCATAATTTCCCCCCATGAATCCAAAGGTCACAGTAAGTCTCCTTTTTGCGCATTGATGTTCCAAAGTTGGGAACCCACCAAACAAGGGAAAAAAGAAACACAACATATCATGATTAGAGACCCCGTCCTAACCACGTGCTTCTGGCATAGTCCATCAGCTCCACATCCTTCGCGCGCGCAGGAATCACTGTGATCACATCCATCCGTTGCCGCTGAGGCACCTCCAAGGGACCCTCCAAGGCATGGTGACCGTGGCCCAGTGCAACTGCCTCGATGGGCAGCGACGCCGAGCTCAGCTGGGGTGCTGGAAAATGTTGCTGTGCCAGGCGAATCAGCTGCAGCCAGTAGCAGTCAAAGCCATCCTGCGACCCAAGCCATGCAAAAATCCATTTTTTTTCGGATATTCATACTGATATTTATGGTAGGATTTACGGCATCATTATTATGAAGGGGTCAAATATGGTAACCCCGGCCTTTAGTCAAGCCCTCCAGGGCCTCCGTCAAGTGACTTTCTGCCCACTCCCGCGCTCTTGCTCCGATGCCTTCCGCCAACCCTGGGTTGCCCCGAAGTGCTGCCAAGACATCTGCTGCAGAGGACCAGGTGAAATCCACCGAAACGAAGTGCTCTTGGTCCTTCAGCTGACCTGGTGCTGAAAGACAGCCGACAAAAAATGGGATATTTGGGGATCATCCCAGCCACATGGAAAATAAAGAATATATGCTGAACAGCCAGCAAAACCATGTAAAACCATGTAAAACCATGTAAAACCTAAAACCACCAGCCAGGAACTGTAGTACCATTCATGGTACATCAAAGGGCTGCTGACGACCACCGAACCACAGAGAAGCCGATACTTCAGGGCCAAAGCCATGGTGTGTCCGGGCAAGTTGGCTAAGTACTTGTGTTGGCACCACCTGGTGGCTGAGCCACCAGAATCAAAAAAATGAAAGTAAAATTCAAGCCGTTTGAAATAATTATAATTATATAATCAGCCTATTTGTTGGGGTGGACCATCAATTAATACCACCATCCTATTTGTTGGGATGGAAAATCAGTTAGCAAATTGCATGAATTATTCGAAAAAGAATGTTGGGCAAAACCATATGAAACTACCAGCCACTCATCAATGGGCACGCAGCTGTTGTCTCCTGAACTCACTACTTGCCTTTGCCCTGCGCTTCCCACCACCCAGGTCATTACCGAGACGTTGGCAAATGGCAAAGCAGCAATGTCTGGTACCACCTGAGCAACATGATCTGTATATACTTCCAGAAACCACCATGGTTTAATAATTTAATAGGGGAATTTACACATGTGTGGTAGGGGCATGTGATGGGATGATAATGTTGACCCTGGATTTTTTTAAACCACAAGTTTATGAATAGGTGGGTAATGGTGGGTACCAATATTATTTCATACTAAGTTCATGAAAGTTCTCACTATTTTGGGGAGGACACCCCTCGTCAACACAGTTGATTAATGTGGGATGGACATGTTTATGTTTGGCCAATCCCTTCGCCCTCAAAATGACACCCCCCCCCCCGAAAACACCCACATGGGATTTATTTTGGGGTCTAGGATTTAGTGTGTCTGGAAATGCAGTATGACCAATATATATATACATGGAAAGAGACACAGAGAGAGAGAGAGAGAGAGAGATTAGATAGATAGGATTAGATAGGATTAGATAGGATTAGATAGGATTAGATAGGATTAGATAGGATTAGATAGGATTAGATAGGATTAGATAGGATTAGATAGAATTAGATAGGAATAGATAGGAATAGATAATAGATAGGAGATAGATAGAATAGATAGGAATAGATAGGAATAGATATAGATAGGAATAATAGATAGATAGATAGATAGATAGGTAGATAGGTAGATAGATAGATAGATAGATTAATATGACTAATATAACCATTTAATAAGGAAACTCATGATAAACCGTTGGATTTTGGGCTAGCCTATTTCAAACAAGCCCATCTGTTTAAATATTGAAGAATGATATATGACTACTATATGATTTCAAAAAGCCAATAAATTCCAGACATGGTCTAAGTCTGCGCCCATGTTTGATGGTTTCCCACTCACAAAACACGCCACGCACTCCATATTCCCCTAAATCACCCACCCCCATGCAGGTAAATCTTCAATCAACATGGATTACATAATTTACATACCCATTTCACCTTGTCAGCTCCCTCACTCAGTTCGTTGGTTGATATAGGAGTTCCCTCATTGCATGTCGATCATTCCCCTGTTGAAGCACTTAGCATAAATTCGGTAGGTCCACCCTCAACCACTCTCAACTGGACAGTATTCTCATTATTTCTCACCTGCAGTGATTAGCGACGTTCATCCCCTGGATAAACTACAATCATTCACCAATCACCAACCTGAAGAGTTCGTCTGGGGGATTCTTCATCTTCCCCTGAGCATCATTGCAGTGACGTCGCAGTGAGGTTTGGGTAATTTCATATCATTTCACCAGAATAAGAGTATTGTCATCACATATAATCACCATTCTATTCCCATAATCAATCATAATCACCATTATGAGCCCATCAACACCCCATGATATCGTTTTGGAGTTTACTGAAACGGTGATAAAAATCTATGGATATTTGCTGGCAAATCAAGGCCCCAAATCCGCCCTGGTCCACCTGTTTCCGGTAGGAGGACGTTGCCGCACCTCTCCAGAAGAGCTGCTCGGACTTCTCCTGCCACCCTGAGGCCCGGCTCGAAATCCTTGCCGCGGCCCGGGCCCAGACGTGGGACCCCACGGCTTCTGAGGGGCACTCGGACTCCGGCCAGGCATAGGAAGAGAAGTCGGGATACAAAATGCCACCGGGGGACCTCGATTTTTCACAGGGGAGACATGATGGGAAAAATGGGATGTATGATTCATAATTCATAGATTGGAGTAGATGCTGAAAATAAACTTAGACAAATCCTGAGGAAAATCATCTCTAATCATTCAGGTTGCAGAAAATGCAAACGTGAATCTATATACAATATGTAGCTCTAAGAAGTCTGGAATATGTAGGGATGGCCGGATGGCCCAAAGCTAGAGCTGGCTGACCCATGTATTGGACAATATTGGGCCTAATTAGTGTGACTTGAGGCACTACCTATTTTATAGAGGTGGTCTCAAATCCAACCTCTGCCTGATTATGCAGGGTTTGTTCAACATGAAACCCCGCGGCTCCTCATTACTCTTGGTGCCTTCCTTTAAAAAAAAACTGAAGACCGGAAAAATTGGAGGTTTCCCAACGGTTGCAGGGCGAAAATTGGTGGTCTCATGACCTCCAAAAGATTCCAAAAGTCTCACCAGGGTCACGAGGGAAACTTGGCGATCACGAAGATGGGTCCCTCCACATGGGAGTAGCCATCGGATGTATCCACCACGAACTCCGCGTCGGGCAAAGGTCCAAACTTGGCCGCCACGCGCTGCAACATCTGCATGGTCAGTCGGTTACCTCGGGCCAAGGGCGGAGATGACCATCATGCGGGGCCACATGTTGGGTGTTTTTCTTCCCTGTTTTTCCCAACAAAAGAGAAGGTTCAAAATGGTAGCAAGTCACGGCTCTGGAATCCCGTTTTTTCATCCAGAATGTAGATTTGGCCATCCTGAATCTGCACCACAAAGCAAGCCTCGCCCTGAACTCTGCAATGATTCTTGGCCCGTTGGGCATCCCAAACGGACAAGTCGAGGAAGGGCACAAAATCTGCCAGGCTCTGCCTATAGAAGTCACCTTGAGGATTGAGGGGTAAACATGTGCAGGAAATCATTTTTTTAAATGTCATTGTGCCATGTTTTGACCATTCAAAATATTTAAATATGTGGATGGGGCCTGTAAATTTCCTGCTGTAAATTTCCGGAATTATTCTTTCCCATCCCTCCAACTAATAGAGACCCTGATCATCGAACACATTGAATATGTTTAAGGCACATTCTTTGAACCCCACAACTCATGGCAGGGTCAAGCAGCCAGCTAGTTGGGAAAATGGTACCAACAAAATCCAGCAAATACCTGAGGATTCCTGTTCAACTTTCCCCTTCATCCCATTTTGGACAAGTTGCCGCCAAAAGCTTCACATCTTTCAGGCAGTGGCGAGGCTTGCCCTTGGATCCCTTGGCCCAGCGCTGCCAGCCCTAGCAGCTGCCACGAAGCCATGGCATCGGTAAACCATACCGAAAATGGCTGGGGCACAAACCATTCACCCAACAGAATTTCTTTTACACTACTATTACCCTCTGGTAATTTGTGAGGGAAATGGATGGAAATGGACCATTTATACAGGATTTACCATGATTTACCCATTAAACATGGTGATTTTCCATAGCTATATTAAATCACCAGAGGGTTTACAGTAAGGCTTTACCCTCAATCACCAGGTCTCAGCGGCAACATTTTTTTCGTGAGCCTATCTGGATGGGCCAAGAGAAGTCAGACCTGTTTTAAGCATTCTACAGTATGTTTAAAAAATATGTTTCTATCATTTCTATCTATATAACTTTTAAAACCTTAACTATCTTTATCTATATCTATCTATCTATCTATCTATCTATCTATATGTATATGTATGTATATATATATATATATCGTGTGCGTGTTTGTGATTATACATGATTGTCGATGATTATTCGTATATGCTCAATACACCAATACACACCCGTACGTTTGGATCTGCAAATTTGCCCCATCGCCTGCACTACAGATGTGTCACTATCTTGGTGGTCCAAACTCGTCATCCGAACTTCGACATAGACATGCATGGCTATCGAATGCTAATCACATGAAGTTTTTTTTTAGATCTTTGAGGTTGATTCAACACTGCCATGTAGAGATATGCTGAGATTCAACACTGCTCAAAAAACGGCTAAGTGACTGAAATCACAAATCGATGGGCGCTTTCCAATGGAAATCCTTTACGTCTATCTTCCTGGTTTCTCCCATTGCGGGCCAACAAAGAACACCTCTGAGATCCAAAAAAACATTGCGCCTGGTGATCCAGTCCATGCCAGTTACTCTAATCAGAATTTGGTTACTGTCCTGGATCATGAGCAATTATTATAATTTAATCCAACTGGGAGGACAGGCTTCATCCCCACCGTCCTGACCATCCGAAGACATCGCCCCATCCACACCCAAGGACACAGTCACATCGTTGCAAAGGTTCCGGCGCACGTGACCTGAAAACGGCTCAGTGTCTGACTCAGTGTCTTGGGGGGTGACCCTGAAAATGGGGTAATCTGGGTTCAACTCCCGAAAAAATGGTCATCATCCCCAAGGAATGCGGACAGCCTGCCTGGAACAGTTTCAACATGACTGCTTGTGCCACCCTGACCCAAAGAAACGCAGAAAGTCCTTGGGAATCATCATTCCGTTGGGATAAAACCAAAAGGAATCTGACACGGGAGCAAGTTTTGCGTGTTTTGCTTTTTTCCTTGAGTGAAACCCTGTGACAGCCATGTTTTGGAGCATATTTTCACATTTCCTATGTATCTAGCTCCGTTCCTTTGAGGCTCCCCCTTCCCGAGGTCTCCAAGCGCTTCGATCGAGCGTCAAACACCAGAGCCCAAGCCTTGGTCGGGGAACTGGACATGACGACCCAGCTTAGTTGGCTGCAAAACATCTCTGGAGAATATATATGATTATATATGGGAAATAGATGGGGATTTACGATGATTTGAGCAACAAAAGAAAACATCAACATCCAAAATCCATAGCCAACGAGGATCTGCGCCAAATGCTGCCAAGCATCGGAGGTTTGAGACCTGAGCAGTTCGAGCCCGCCAGAACTGTGTTGAGTTCTCACCACTATGGTTAAAT